CTTAGGGACAAACTGGCCTTCTTGCTGGGCCTCACTGCACACCCCACGTCCTGCCCCTGTGTCTTTGTCATGCTTGCTCCCCGAGCCTGGAATGCCCCTTTGCACCTCTGCCTCCTGGTCCTTCCAGACTCAGCTCAAGTGCTCCCTTAAGAGCTTTCCTGGTCCTCCCAGCTGTTGGGACCTTCCCCATACAAGGTCACCTCCCATCTGCTTTGTATGTTTCATAAACGCTGCACTTACACATGCATGTTGTCTCCCAGAGGAGTATGAGATGCCTGAGGGCAAGGACTGTTCTGCCTCTGTCTTTGTATACCTAGTCTAGTAGAGTGCTTAAAACGAACTGCCTTGGTGCTTAATAAATCCTTAACTGTTGTTTTTTTTTTTTTTGGTGAGGCAATTGGGGGTAAGTGACTTGCCCAGGGTCACACAGCTAGTAAGTGTCAAGTGTTTGGTCTGAGGCCGGATTTGAACTCAGGTCCTCCTGACTTCAGGGCCGGTGCTCTAACCACTGTGCTATCCACTGCGCCACCTAGCTGCCCCAAACAAATCCTTAACTGACTATACACAGTATTCTATTCTATTTGTTGAACTGAATATGCATAGCACTGTATTAGGTGTTTTTGAGAATAGTATGATTTTTTTAAAAAATGGCACAGTTTCTATTTCTAAGGAGACTAATAGTGTCCTGGGGGTGGAGAGGAGGGTATAACATGTACACAGAGAAGTCAGTCAGTCAACAAACATTTACTAAGTGCCTGCTATTAGCCAGTCACTGTATTAAGCACCAGATTAGTATAACACAAAGTAGAATGTGAGAGAGGCAAAGGAATAACCCAAAGTATGCTTAAGAAAACCCTTTCAGTTGAGGAATCAGGGACTGCTTCCTGGAAGTGGTAACCAAGAGGATTTGGAAAGGTTTCTGAATGGCAGAAATAAGGAGGAAGTGCTTTCACTGACAGTGGGGAAAAAAAAGGGACAGGAAACAGAGATGAAGATGAGTTCTAGATTGGCTGTAAAATGCACGAAGGCAATAAAATGGAATAAACCAGCTTCCCTGGCTTCTTTCAAGCCTTAGTTGAAATCCTACCTTCTGGAAGAAGCTGCTCCCCACCCTCCTTAATGCTAGAGCCTTCTCCCTGAGGTAATCTCCAATTTACCCACCCCATATCTTGTTCACCCATCTTGGTTTGCATTTTGTCTCCTCCTTTAGACTGAGCTCCTTGAGAGCAAGGATGACTTTCACCTTTCTTTGTATTCTCAGGGCTTAGCACAAAGCCTGGCCCATAGCAAGTACTTAAATTGCTTATTGACTTGAAAGGTAGGTGGAACTACAGACCTTATAGAGCAGGTAAAGAAATTTATGTTATTCCATGAGTAATAGGGAGCCACTGAAGATTTTAGGTCAGGGAAATAACATGATCAAAGCCCTGCATCAGGAAGGTGATTTTGGCTGCTGCTGAGGATGAGAATACATGAAGGTAAGAGAGGAAAAGATTCAGAAGATCAGTTAGCTCTTAATGAAGACATGATGAAGGCCTGAGATAGGACAGTGGGAGTGGGAGAAATTATGGAACATGAAAACAGAAAGGTCCAAGGTTTGAGGATGAGCCTTTGTGGCTGGGGAGATGTCATCCATGTTAAGTGAAGATGTAGCCATCACTAGCCATAGGCTGGGTACCAGCAATTCTTTATTAATTTAGACAAGATAGGAGAGTGAAAAGAGTACTAGGCTCAGAGTCAGAAGTCCTAGCTCCATTTACTATTTTACGTGATCTTGGGCAAGTCACCCTCCCTCCAATGAGTATACACTTGCACTATCTCAACAGGGATCGATAACCTGCAGGGATCAACGATACTGGAGAGAAGACACTCTGATACGGTGCTATATGAGGCTTTATAATAAGTCCTTGATGTGTAGACAGAACAAATACAAACCCTAATCAATGAACCCATTATACCACTTTTGAGACCTAGCAGGGGCATTCATGAACTCCTAAAGAATTGCCCAAGTTTAGGCCTGTGGAAAATATCCTCTAACATCCCAACTACCTACATTTGAGATTCCTGAACTGCTTAATTTATTTCCACTAATAGGTTATCAAACTGTTACACAAACTCTTGACTTTATTCTACTAAATCCTAATGAGGAAATGAGTCTTTTAGATCATCCTTTTAGAATGATCAAACGAGGTGTGTCCAGCTTGGGAACTGGTGCAATCTCCAGTATATTCTAGCATTCTCCTTTTATCATAAATGTTACGGGAAGAATTCCTTCTCTTGGTAGGAGGCTGAACTAGATGGTTTCTAAAGGCTCTTCCAGCTCAGAGATTCTGTTAAATCATTTGACAAGACGTATTTGTGGAAAAGTCTGCAAAGCTTTGCAATTATAGTCCCTATTGATTGTATTTCCCTGAAATGTCTCTTTACAGTGTGAGTTTATCAGGGGCAGGATTTAATTTAACCAATTTCGGCTGCTGGCCATCTATTATTCAAGATGGGTTTTTGCCTGGATTACACTTTGGTAGCTAATAAATTACAAAAGGAAAATTCATACTGCTATCAATGGTTTCAGAATTCTAAAAAATAGCTCCTGAGCTCTGTGAAGGCAAGGACCATGTCTAATCTACACTTTATATTCCCTCTGGCACTCAGCACAGTGCCCCTACACTCACTGGGTGTTCAACAGTGTTTGTTCAAGTGAAGTGAACTCAACCCAATGGAAATTCAAACAAGTGACTTGGAAAAAAAAGGGTAAAAAAAATGGTCCTGGATGAAACTTCACAGCTTTGGCTCACCATCTTTGAATTTACTGGTTTTCAAAGTAAACAGCAAGCATCTAAGACTTCAAAAAACTGTTTGGTTTTGTACTAAGGAGAAAAAAAACAAAGATTTTTTAAAAATACCTTTTCACTACATTTTTAACAGTACAAATTTCTGAACAATTTACATCCTTGCTGCATTACTATAGAAACATATGGATGCTTCATATCTACTCTAACCTGAAATATCTTCTATTCATGCCTAATTTATGTTGCTTAAATGTACAAGACTAGCCAATGTAATCATATCCTCAACAAATCACAGAACTTTAAGAACTGAAAGATTCTCCCACGGGGCAGTACTTGGTAAGGCTCTCTGTCCAACTTAAAAGGCCTGACCACTGTGACAGCCAAAGATTCCACATCCCTGGCAAGCAATCATCTGCTTTTCTCTAAGGACCTCCAGTAATGATGAATTCAACACCTCTCACTCGCTCCATTGGCAGACAGTTCCAAATGTTGAGTTTTCCCTTAGATTGGGGCAAAATCTGCTTCCCTGTACCATCCACCTAGTTCTGCCCTCTAGGCCATGCAGAACAAATCTGCCATCTTCCTGATAAAGAAAAGGTTTTAATCAGGTCCCTCCCCCCATCACATATGCTTTTAGAATGATTCATTTGACATTATCCCTGTATGCTCCATCAATGTGAATTATTAAATGTAACCCACAATGTACCAAGGATAAAGGATTAACAGAAAAGCATTTTTCAAATATGGCAAATTAAAGCCTACATTGCACAGCTGCATTTCAAAATGATTACTAGGACCTTCAAATTGTGGCACAGGCAAAAAAAAAATGTAGCTTAAAAATGACTGAAGCAGTGAGAGGGAGGTATTGAGGTTGATATAACAAAGGAAAAAAAAGGCAAACAATACTGATTCAAGTCACCTTTATTTCACATGAAGAGACCATGGGGCACATAAGACAAAGCATCAAAGCCCTAGAAATGCTCAGGTCTAAGAGCCACACAGACTGGGGTTGGGAGTGTAGGTGCAACTGGATGATTTAACACAAAGTAGGAGAAACTGATTTAAAAACAGACACATATATAAATAATATTTATATATTTTACATATACATATCTTCTATGTATATGCATATATATGAAAATCCCCAGCCAAAAGGAAACAGGGGAAGGAAGGACAAGCAAGCAGCCAGCTTCTGCAGAGGGCTGAGGAAGGCCGGGGGGGGGGTGGGAGGCAAGGGGAGAGGGTGAGGATTAAGGCAGAGGCCATGCTCGGGTCCCTTCAGTGGATCTTTAAGCACATGCAGCTGGTGTGTCCTGAAAAAAGTAAAAAGAGCTGGGTTGGATTCCTAGCTCAGACATTTACTGGCTGTGCAGGGCTGGGCCTCCTGATGTCCGTTTCCTCCAGATTATGCTTCTGGTACTCCCCACTTCACAGAGCTGTTTGGAGGATCCAGTCAAACACGGAATACACGGCGGCGTGTAAACACCGGCTACTGCACAAAATTACTCCTCTCCGCCTAAGCCTCCTGGGGTTATCAGAGGTCTGGGGCAGTGTTGTCGAAGGACCCAGCCCTGCCACTCCCTACAAGTCTGACCTTGGGTTCTCCGAGCCTCAGTTTCCTCGCCTGTCAAAGGCAGTAGGCCTAGATGACCTCGGAGGTCCCTTCAGCTCTAATCCCCCCCGCTGCTGCTCCCAGACCAGGCTTCTGTCCCTCTTGGCTGAACAGGCCTCGAGGCCGGGGGAAAGGCCGGCTGTCGGAGGACAAGAGGTCCGAGAGGCTGACCATGACGGTGGGAGCGATCGGGAGCCCCCAGTCCACCACCCGACCCCCGATTCCGGGGCCTGGATGACCTCTTCGTCCCGCCTGTCCTCGGCTTCGCCCGGAGCCTCCCCCGTTAGACTGCAAGCTCCCTGAAGGCAGGCTCTTTGTATGCGCCCCCATCCCACCGCACAGCGCCTAGCACAAAGCAGGTGCTTAATAAAGGAGCATTAACGCATTCTGAAGGGGGTTAATAAATGCTTGTTGACTCAGCCTGTCACTCAGGGACCGGTCCAGAGCTAACGGCGGGCGAGCCTCAGTTTCCCCACGCGGAGAAGGCAGGCGCAGGAGGCGCCGTCCCCGTCCTCCCCCCTCTTCCCTCTCGCCAGGTCCGGGCCCGGCTGCCCCTCCGTCCCGCCCTCGGGGGCCCCCAGAGCGGAGCGGCCTCTTACCCGAGGGCGCGGGCGGCGGCTCCGGCCTCCTCCCGCGGGACAGGAAGGCCCTGGGCAGCAGCAGGGAGACGCACAGCACGAGGCCCGACACCATGGCCACCTTCTGGAAGGCGGAGAACGCCATGGCCGCGCCCAGCCGGCCGACCCGCACCGGCCCCGGCCCCGGCCCCGGCCCCGGCCCCGGCCCCAACCCCGACCTGCCCCGGCGCCGCTACCGGAAGCGGAAGCCCGGCCGCGGCTCGCGGCGTGCGTGAGCCCCTTCTCGCTGTTTCGCCCTCGGCCCGCAAGAGGGAGCCGCGACGGAGCGGCGAGAGGGACACAAGTCTTCGGGACGCGCCCGAAGGACCCCGCGGGGTGGGGGATGGGGAGGCAGGTTGGCCGAGGAGGGCAGGTGGGAAGGGCGAGCGATGGGGGCGTGTTCGCAGGACCGCCGCCAGGGGGCGCCCAGAGCCCGGGAGTCAGCGCGTGCGGTGGACGAGGGAAATAGTCTTAGCGGCAACCTTTGGGGCATTTTCACGATGATTGTGATGTTGATGGTGATGATGAAATAATGTCATCACCGTTACCACCACAGCTAGCATTTACGTGGCGCTTTAAGGTTTGCAAAGTGCTTCACAAACATTATCTCTCTTTTTTGTTTGTTTTTTGGTTAGCCCAGGGTCACACAGCTAGTGAGTGTTAAGTGTCTAAGGCTGGATTTGAACTCGGGTCCTCCTGAATCCAGGGCCAGTCCTCTATCCACTGCGCCACCTAGCTGCCCCCACAAACATTATCTCATTCGACTCTTTCAACAATCCTGTGAGGTATATTACCCCCATTTTACAGATGAGGAAACTGAGGCAGAGGTTAAGTGGCTTGCCCAGGGTTACACAGTTAGTAAGTGCCTGAGGCTGGATTTGAACTCAGTTCTTCCTGAGCCAGGTCCATTGCCCTATCTACTGTCCCAAATCCCACCTCAGACACATACCAGTTGCAGCACAGGGAAAAGAGTGCTGGGCCTGGAGTCAGGAAGATGTGAGTTCATTTTCTGCCTCAGACACTTATTAGCTGTGTAACCCTGGACGTGTCACTTAATCCCTGTCGGCCTCAGTTTCCTCATCTGTAAAATGGGGGTAATATTGGCACCTACCTCCCAAATTGCTTTGAGGATTAAAGGTACTTTGCAAACCTTGAAGCATAGGATAAATGCAAATTATCATTACAATAATGGGGGGGTTGTTGGATCTCTGATTTCATTGGAGTAAGGGACTTAGGAGGGAGGAAATTCCCTGTACCAGTGCAGATCATCAGCATCTCCTCTGCAACTTACAGTCTTGGAGAGTTGCCCAGAGTACAGAGAGGTTAAGCCACTTGCCGGGGTTACACAGGCAGTACGTGTCAGAAATGAAACTGGAGCCCAGGTCTTCCTTAGTATGCGTCAAAGAGGGGACTTGGAGTCAGGTTTCTTCCTGAATCCACTGGCCCTCTCTGACAAAGAATGGTTCATGCTAATAACATCCATTCACATTTCTAGAAGCCAGATTCTGGTTTCTAAATACAAACAAAACCCCTTTGCATCTGTGTGATACTTTCCAGTTTCTGAAGCACTTTCCTAGCCTGGTATACTCACAACTGCCCTGTGAGGGATGAAGTTCAAGTAATATTATCAGCCCATTTTATAAATAAAAAAACTGAGGGTTAGAAAAAGGCAAGTGGTTTTTCCAAGGTCATACAGCCATGAAGGGTGAAGCGAGCTGGAGAAAATACTGGCTTTGGAGTCAGAGAAGCTGAGTTCAATCCCTGGCTTTGCTATTTATTGTCCTTTAATCTCTTTGGGTCTCAGTTTCCCGATCTGTCAAATACAGAGGTTGGATCAAATTATCTCTAAAGACCCTAAAACCTGCTTTAAATCTATAATCCAATGACCGGGTGATGGATCCCAGGTCTCTGACTCAGTCTGCCGTTCTCTGTGTCTCTCTATGGCTGATGTCTCCACTGAGCTCCACAGTCCCATCACTACCTCCACTCAGGACATCTTCCCGAGGGTGGTGTAATAATGAAATGTGCCCTGGACTTCGGGCAGAAGGTCCAGAGTGCAGTTCTGAATTGGTTGCTAACTCCTGCATAGCCTTGGACAAATCACTTAGCCTGGCTGGGCTTACCAGCTGTAAAATTAAGGAGGAAGATGAGACGATCTCTAAGCTTCCTTGAAGTTCAAGATCTAGCATGGTATAGTGAAAGGAAAGCTAGGCTTGAAGTCAGGAGACCTGGATCTGAGTATCTCTGGTACTCATCAGTTGTATAATTTTGGGTAAACCTCTCTGAGCCTCAATTTCTTCATTTGTAAAATGGAGATAATAGTTACACTATTAGAGAACACTTATTTTACACTATTTTATATGTTGTATATAATATATATTGTATATAAAGTTACACTATTATAGAACATGGAAGGCATTGCAAGAAACAAGTTCTGAAAACCTTAGAGCACTCTAGAAATGTGAATTTCTATTATTTCTATTTCTATAGACATCTATAGAAATTCCACTTCTAGTAACTTAATGGAGTCAGCCTGTGTCCAAAGGCATTGACTCCTCATGTGCAAAGAGCTCACTGAATAAGGTGTGATCTAGAGAGGAAAACTACATATGAAGAGCGATATCGACTGACCGAAAGAAAGACTAGATAATGAAAAATAAAACTAGATAAAGAAAGACCAGGTGGAAAAGGGGACTCAAAGCTTCCCAAAGATCTGGAGAGGGGTCTGTGCAGAAGGGCACTGTCTTCACATGGCCCCCAGAGGGATGGAATTGTGGGGAAGAGTGAGGTAGCCAGAGAACCAGGGAGGAGAGGGGAACCGTGCGTCCCAAGAAGAAATGAAATACAGTTATAATATGAAGGAGTAAGATTTGGACCCTGCCCTTTCCTGGTGCTATGAGTTATATGGGTTGTATAAAAGAAAGGAAACAAGTATTTATTATGTACCTACTATGTGCCAGGCACTGTGCTAAGTGTTTTATATATATTATTTCATTTGACCCTCACAACTACCCTGGGAGGTAGATGCTATCATTATCCCCATTTTACAGTTGAGGAAACTGAGGTTAAGCAACTTGCCCGGGGTCACACAGCTACAAAGTGTCTGAGGCAGGATTTGAACTCAGGTCTTTCCAACTCCAGATCCAGTGTTCTACCCCCTGTGCCACCTAGCTGCCTTGGCATCTTCGGGGAAGGTGGGATCCACTATTTGATTCCTCCAGAAACGGAGAGGAAAGCTTTCTTGGCTGTCTGTGGACTCGGGTATTTGTCCATTCTCTATTTTTTCTTTTCTTTTGTAAATAAAACCTTTTCTATATTTAACGTCTAGTCAGCCTGATTGTTTGTCCAGGCAATTTGAGAGCCTTTTTGGAGGTGGCAAAATAAGGTAAATACTGAAATATCGCGGCAGCTGGCTCAGTAAATAGAGTGCCCAACCTGGAGTCAGAAAGATCTGAGTTCAAATCTGCCCTCTGACACTTACTAGCTGTGTGACCCAGGGCAAATTACTCAACCCTGTTGGCCTCAGTTTCCACATCTGTAAAATGAGCTGGAGAAAAAAATGGCAAACCACTCCAGTATCTTTGCCAATAAAACCCCAAACAGGGTCATGGAAAGCTGGGCACGACTGAACAAGCACTCTGAAGTATCTGAAGTCTCTAAGCTAGAGAGATTTTGTGAGGCAATCCCAAAGGAGGGACGCTTTCATCAGGGCTACATTAATAACACTAATAGGCCTTCCCTGCCCCAGGTTTCCCTGTTTATGTTAATGACATCTAGGCTTTAACCTTTGTATCATCTCTGAATGCTCCTTTCTCACAAAATCCAATCAGCCCCTATGGCTGCCATTTCTTCCTCTCCCGTTGCTCTCTAGTCTGTCCTGTCTTTTCCACTGATACCAATCATCCAAGGGCCTGAGCTCAGGACAGGAAGCATCTGTACACCACTTGCATCCAGCGATGGTGCTCTCTGGAATCAAGTATACTATATCATCTCTCATGATCAACTTCTTTCAAAGCCGGTCTCATATTTGACCTCCTCCAGGAAGCAGTCCCTGATCACTGAGTTGTTTCCTCGGCTCCTGGAGCCCTTGATGTCTGTACTGCTTCTCTGGACTCTTATTGTAACTTCTCTTTCCGTGTGTGCCTACCTGGCTCCCCAACTGGACTGTGGGCTTTGGGAATTTTGAGGCTGGACTTTCCACATCTCTTTATCCCCCAATGTGTCGGTACTCAGGCAATGTTTCTCAATAATAATAGCTCCCATTTCTGGAACATGCTCATATTTGCAAAATGTTTCCTTCATAACAGCTCTGTGTTGGAGGCAGTGCAAGTACCTCCATTTTATAAATGTCACAATGGAGCCTCAGTGAAAGGAAATCATTTGCCCAAGGTCACACAACTAGCACGTGGTGAAGTGGAATCAATAACCAAGGTCTTCTGGCTCCCAGATCAACTCATTCCTTTATATCATCTGGAGCATTTGTTGATTCTGTTGATTATCCTTTCCTGCTCAGACTGTGGGACACATAAGCCATATTCTAACAGTTCCAAATGATGGGGCGTTTGTAGGTGTCAGGTTGGTCTTTGGCCTCAATCTGCGGTCTCTCTAATCCTGTAGCCCCATGTAATTTCCAGGATTTGAAGCCCTCACTATTTACTGACCCAGAAGGGGACAGAGCTATCTACGCCTCTTTCATTAAAAGCTTCTCTGCACTTCAAATGCTCATTCATTCATTTATTCATTCATCTAGTGATTTAATCATTTACATATTCATTTATTGATTCATTCAGCAAATCGATTAACCCATCAATCAACAAGTATTTATTAAATGCCTATTATGTTCCAGGCACTATCCCAGGCACTAAGGATGAAAGTATAAAAAATTAAATAATCCTTATTCAAATAGGGAAAAATATTTACAGCATGAATGTAAAGTGAATAAATACAAACACAGACCAAGGAATTAAATACAATATAGCTTGGGAGGGAGGGCTTTAGCAATTGGGGGGATTAGGAAAAGTTTTATATAAAAGGCGAGTTTTGTGCCACAGGAGATATAAGGGTTCTCTCTACAACCTGGGAGACCCATACTACTCATACACATGA